GTGGCAGGAATCCCGTAGCGTGGAGTCCAACCCTGCAGCTGCCGCCTCCCAAGGTCAGTCCCTGCCCTTCACGGCTTCAGGACACACGCTGGCTTGTGAACCCAGATCCTCAGCCAGCCGTGCCGTCACCCCGAGCAAGCTCTGCCCGCGTGTGGACGATGTGCCTGCGCAACAGCCCGCACCAAGGACTGAGTCCCCACAGTAAGGAGCTCTGTTGTCCTCACTGACGACAAGTATGAGAGCCCAACTTCTATCCTGTGCCTTCTCTTCCTCCCATCGCCGCCGTTCCATGGCCCGCCTCCCAGATAAGCCACGTGCACCCAAAGCTTCCACTTGCACGGGCTCCGGAGGAGGCCTTAGCTGGCAGATCAAGCGGCACAGTCCCACGTGCTGGTGCACAGACAGGAGCAGTGACCCTCTGTCCTATGTATGCACCGTGCTTCCTGTGGTTTGTCCAATGCAACGGGATGGAAAGTTCCGGTAGATCTAGGATCTGGGGGTGGGATGGCTAGGAAGACGCCTCATCCTCGCAGTGACTAGGACGGGAAGTCTCCAAGTGCGTTACCATTTCCAGTTTCCAAATAAGGAGGCAAAAGCCAGAAAGAGGCACTATGCATTGGGATATTGAATTATTTGCAATTTTAACTTTTAACGTCAAAGCCGATTTTCCGTAAGTACTGGGGGAAAGTTAGGAGAGGACTTAAATAAGTGAATACAGAAATTATCTCAACCTCTCTTTTGGGCTTGCTGCTGCCAGCAAAAATTCCTGATTTTCTCCATTTTATAATCATGCATTTCTTCTGGGGGACACAGGGGCTAACAGCAAAAATGGTACTCACCGGGGTGAGAAAAACATGAAACTGGGTTACCAATCTATCAACAACTCAGAATTTTCTGTAACAATCGGCATTCTGAGGGGCTGAGATTAAGTTCTTGGAAAACACGTGAGTTACAAGGAAATTAACTTAGTCAATAGCCAATCCATCCTGGCAAACCACAGACTAATTTTGTAGTTAAACATAACCATAAAGACGAGAATGACAAGAATTTTGGCTTTTCCATGAAAATCAGGATTAAGGCCAATGAATAGCAGACAGAAAGCATAAAGTAAATGAAACCCGTTTTATCAAGTTTATTTTTTTTCTGTATTTAATTTTCCTTTTATTTTCAGACGTGTTTATTGTAGATGGAAAAAGTCCTTTCCCTTTTCCCTTGACCCAGACTGAAGTGATCAAGGCTGGCCCTCTACCCAACTCAAATACACTAGAAATTACTTACCCTTTGTACAGACTATTACTTTAGAAGCAATAATTCTTTCTCAAAGCAATTTTAAACCCCTCATGGACTTAAAACTGGTACGGTTTCAGTTCTGGAGCACAGTAGGAATAAATGGGCTTTCATTACATGAAAACGTACCATTTTTTGGAACGTGGCAGTCAGTGTTAGCGTGTTCTATTTCCTGCTTTTGCAAATATGCCCCATATCCATACTTCCATACATCTCACTGAGAAGAACATTCTAGACTCTCGTTCTTGCACTCCTGCAAACCCAAAGTGTTTGTACAGAATTCACAATCACCTCTGGTTTGGTTTAAGTGAAGATGTGTCAGGAAATGACGGGAGTGTCATAACTGCGCTACACGGTTGCAGATTTCCTCCAGGACTTTTCCAGGGGACACTTGACCATTTACAAGATGGCGCCACATCTTTCCCCACTTAATCTCGTCAAACGAAGAATGCGCTCTTACTGGGGAAAAATTCTTTAAACAACCTGATAGGAATTTAACTTACATATAATAAAACTCACTTACGTTAAATGAACCAGCCAGTGACTTTTAGAATTTACGGAGTTGGCCAATCAGCATTACCCACTAGAAACTTCTCAAATCGGTCAGCTTCATTCCTCCACGTGTGTCCCCCGGGGGGCTCACTTCTGGCTTCGTCCAGATTACCATCGCCTTCGCCCAGGATCATCGCGGTGACCTCCTCCGACCCCCTGCTTCCACTTCCTCTCCCCTCGTCTCCTTTCCACACAGCCATCGGAGAGGCCCAGTAAAATCTTAGCCACATCATGTTCTCTGCTTAGCATGTCCCAGCCATTCTCATATCAAATGCAGCATAAAAGCAAAGCCATGCTCTTTACAACGGCTGCGAAGACCCAGCAAACCCAACTCCCTCCTTCCTCTCAGGCTTCATCCCCAGCTTCCCTGCCTTGATCTGTGGATCTACTCACAGGCTCCTCTGCTGTTCCAAGAACACTGCAAGATTAGTCCTGCCTCAGGACCTTTGCACCGACTGTTTCATGGAACTGGAATGCTGCTCCTTCAGGCTGGTGCAAGGCTAACTCCTTCATCTCCTTCACACAAGCATCTCTTTCTCAGCAAAACCTTTGTCTGCGCTCCCTAAAACTGTAAAAAAACAAAATACCCCTTCTCAGTATCTCCCTGCGTTCTATTCTACCATCAGTAATCACTATCTCTCCTACTTTACAACAGTATTTTACTTATTAATCTTGTTTACGGTTTCCTCACACCCCCAATTGGACTACATCTGTTTGCCTGTGTGTGTGTTCCAGAATTTTCCAGAAAATTCTTTCCTTTCATTCATTTACTATCCCCTATACCCAGGATAGCGCCTGACACATATAGGTGCTCAACAAATATTTGTTGAATTCACAGAGGAATGAAACGTGAGTGACCCAAGGAGACGGTAAAGACTAAAAACTAACTTTGTTTCTACCTTGACGTTTCCCCAGTGAGGCATGGAGGCTCTTGGGGGGTTCTAACAGTGGAAGATGGTGGACACAACTCTGTGAATACCACAAATCACTGGGTTGTACAGTTAAGAGGAATGACTTTATGGTGCGGTAATTATATTTCAGTAAGTTGGTTAAAAACGGTTTTCCCATTGCAAACCATGAGAGACTCTTGAAGGCTGAGAACAAACTGAGGGCTGATGGGGGTGGGGGGAGGGGAAGGGGGGTGATGGGCATGGAGGAGGGCACTTGTGGGGATGAGCACTGGGTGTCATATGGAAACCAACTTGACAATAAACTATGAAAGGAAAAAAAAAAACTGTTTTCCCGTTGAAAGCACATTTCTGCATTTGATGAAATTGGAGTCAAGTGGGGAAAGCTGTGGTGCGACCTCGGAAATGGTTAAGTATCCTTTAGACCAGTCCTGGAAGGAAATATCTTCAGCCTTTAGCCCGTCTATTACACTTCCATAATACTGTGATGCACTTTCGCTGGAAAAGTAGCAGGATCTACCATGCATTCTATGCAGACATTTCCGGTTCGCAGGAACTGGAGTCTGGGATGCTCGCTGCTGGGTGTGTTTGGAACATGAGGAGCTAGAACAACAGAGTAATGAGAGTGTGAGGCATCCCCAGCATGGTGCATTCTCATCCAACAAGAGCCTGTTTACATTTGAGGGATGCGGGCGTGATTCTGGACGACGAAAGTGCTCAGACACACGGCGGGGGTGGGGAGGAGGCCTGGGACAGCATGGCCTGGGTGCTTCCTCGGAACGGATGCCTCTTAGGCTGTTGGAAGCCACAGGGCCGGCCCTGGGGACTGTCACCAGAGCTCCGCCCAGATCCCGTCCGATCCCTGACAGTCCACATCTGTCCCCAAAGGCTGGAAGGTGCCTCTGCCTACTGTGTTTGCGGCCCTGACCTGACACACCAGACAACCTGCAACAGATCAGATGGTAACACATTTTGGCCACGACGTGCCTGGCTCGTCTTTGAACCACGACACCCAAGGTGAAGAGTGCTCCAGCCTCTTCCTGATCCTCGCCTCTGAACCTGCTGTGACTTCTTCACGTCACCTGCCTCTCTAAACCACCAGGCCAACTGGAGACAGCCAAAGACATGTCCCTAATTCCAGTTTTAAACCTGCTGGTGTATTCGCCTCCATGGAGGGGAAAAACACACTTTTCCTTTCTTAAAAGTTATTTAAAAAAGAGACAGAGTTAAGAGTCTACAACATAGACCGTAATAGGATCCAAATGTGAACTTATTTCGTTTGCAAGCTTGGCACTGAACCAGCGATGGCACAAAGGGGTACCAATGTGACATCGTGAGGAATGGCCAGCCTGGCTGTAACATCTGCATCTCCCCAATCCTGCAACGGAAACCGCAAGTCAGAGCAGCCACTGCAAACCTTCCCGTAACATACATACGACTAAGTCCCTATAAGCCGTGCGTTACGCATGAATATCACAAAGCGTTTTGTTTAATTAAGATAAGTCTAAATTAGCTTCCCTGTAAGATGAGGGGTAGAGCTGTTGGTTAGGAGGTGAATAAGCTCACGGCGCAGCTCTGTGACACACAACTTGTACTGCACATACCATGAACGCTGGAGGCGCACAGCCATCTAAACACAATTGGGGAAATACCCATGGAGGGATCACTCGTATCTAATCCGGGTACGTTCTTCAACTATCACAGGCTAAACTAAACAGAAACATCACATCGTTAGCATTTGTTGGACTCCAGAGCTTTACACTAGCAACGAAGTAACACCTGAACAAAATTATGGCAATGAGGCAGGTGACTCAGGACTTAAATTCTGGACGTTACAAAACAAAGGAGATCAATTCATACTCAATGTAACAATCGTTTCAAGGAAAGCCATACCGTCTAAAGTAGCTCAAACTGAACCCTTCCCTCCCCCCACACATTAATTCAATGATGACTGGCATAGAATATCGTGAGGCAAAGACTCAACCCAAGTTGAGGATGGAAAGCCACCTCTCCAGAGCTGAGAAAACCCCTCTAAGATTATCTTGTGTGACGTTCCACAGTTAAAATGCCCGATGACGGTGTTAATCGTACATTCACACGCTGCCTTCAGAGACATCTGGTCCCAGCCGCCACGAGCAGCAAAGCTGGTGGCCGATGAGCCGTGAATATGAACGTGGGGACAGGACTGACGTGCATCCAGGTACGCCCGGCGCAGGGGACGGGGGAGCGTGGACTCAGGAAAGCGAGACTGACCTTTGGAGGAACGGAAGTGCTTGCTGGGGGCAGTGAAGCCTCGGGTCCCATGCACGTTGACGCCTGCCACTCGGAACTGGTACCACCTGCTGGGACGTATGTCAGTCAGCTGCACCCGCTCATCTGTGGTCTGGGGGGAGAGGTCACCAACACAGAGAACGCTTTTACCCAGACAGTCAACCGGGTCTCTCTTAAACGTACAGCACCTCGTCACGCTGCCTTGACCTTCCTGTGCCCTGGTGCTCACGTGTGGGGGTCGTGCTCAGTTATGAGAAGAGCTGCCAGCAGTCAAGGAATTTCTAGGACGTTTGAAGTGTTTAATTCCACTCACAGGTATTTCACTCCAAGGAGCTAAAGATCTCTGGAGTCAAAACCATATGGACATGCCTGAGCTACTTAAGTCTGGTGACTAAATACATCATTAAATCCATGGGGGTTTTAGTCGCTAAATTATACATATGAGCAAATATCTACATGAGCTAATCATTACATTCTACACAAGAAAATGAAATCGTCTTTTGATTATAGACGGAAAAGGCCTCTTCAATTTGCTTGCCAAGTAGAATCTGGGGAGTCAGATGTGGACTCCTAAGCTTTAACACATGCTAACATTCTTTTTTCTATTTTTATTTTTTAAATTTTTTAAAAAATTTATTTCTGAGAGACACAGAGAGAGAGAGACAGCGTGAGCAGGGCAGGGTCAGAGAGAGAAGGAGATGAATCCAAGACGGGCTCCAGGCCCTGAGCTGTCAGCACAGAGCCCGACGCGGGGCTCGAACCCAAGAAACGTGAGATCGTGACCTGAGCCGAAGTCAGACGCTTAACCGACTGAGCCACCCAGGTGCCCCTAAGCGCTAACACTTTCTGGAAGTACGTTGCAGCCCAAGCCTTTCTTAACATTTTGAGTAAATCCTGTAAGATCTGCTAGGAGCCAGTCGTGTTTCTCAAGGGTGAGGTGTGCTGAGATCTCTCTGTCCGATCAACATAGGGAAAGAAGTGGACCTTGGCGAAGGCACCCAGTTTGGCTGCATCTCCTGCTGGAGTCAGGGGAGCTAAGTTAGCTCCTCTGCCCATCAGGCTGAGGGGAACGGTACCTGCTTTCCCGGAGGCTCTGCGGTGGCCTGCGGACCTCGGCACCCGTTCCAAGGGCCGGATGCCCACATGCGGGGCCTCACAGATGCCCTGCACCAAACACAATATGTGCTCAGTGCAGGAAAGTGGGAAAGTGGGACTGAACTGAAACCCTCCCTATGCCGGGGCCGCAATAAATTTTTTTTTTTTTTTTCTAGGAGAGAGAGAGAGACAGAGTGAGCAGAGGAGGGTCAGAGAGAGAGGCAGTCACAGACTGAAACAGGCTCCAGGCTCCGAGCTGGCAGTCAGCACAGAGCCCGACGCGGGGCTCCGAACCCACGAACCGTGAGATCATGACCTAAGCGAAAGTCGGACGCTTAACCGACTAAGCCACCCAGGGGCCCCTCAATAACTTCTTCTGAAGGGGTGTCACATTTACTTTAATTAAGAGAAAAGAAACATTCCGAGACCAAGAAAGGCTATGAACTCTCACGTGTGGCTTTCCACCTCATTTGGCAAAATACGAGGTGACCCTTTCACAGATATCACATTTACTTTTAAACTTTAGTTTAAAAAACTGAAATCAGCACGATCTCCACAGTATTTAGCACACAAAGGAGACAGGGTGGAAGGAAGACAAAGAAACATGTGAACCAGTTAATAATAATAATAGTAATAATTAGTTACATATATTAATATAAATTTAATTGTAATAGAAAAAATTTATATTTATAAAATATATTATCATTATTATTCAAGATCTTTCCTCTTTCCAAAAAAAGAATAAAAGACCTGATCCTATTGTCCATTACTTTCACAAATCTCTAAGTAATTTGGAAAATTCACAAGTGATATTCTCCCATTAAGGAAGCACGCCACGTAAATCAAATAGACTTCTAGGCTGTATGCCAAACATCTTTATGTTTTAGTGAAAAAAAAATTTTTTTTAATAAATAAGTATGACACAGAATTACCAAATTTTTTGAGCAGAGGTTTTCCCCGCCCGTTTCATCCTTGTGCATCAGCCTGTTTGTTTATTGTGGGGTCTCTTAATTATCTCAGCGTTGATCCCCCTTTAGAGCCTGCTCTTAGGAAAGAACCAAATTCCTCCTCCATACACTTGTACCCTGACACTGATTTTGTATCTACTGAAAACAGTAACGGGAATCGGGTCGTTGGAGAAAAATGACCCGATCAGGGGTGGCAGCTGCTGAGGGCATGAGGCAGGTCCACACTGAGAATCTGTGTGTTTTCTAGACCCGTGTCGGTTTCTCGCAGCTGGCAGTCCGTTTAGCAGCTCTTAAAAAGAAAGAAAATATTTTGCTTTTCTCATCAGGGAGACAGAAAAGGAAGCAGAATGCGTGAAGATAAACGTGCTCCACCCAGGTGGGCTATCAGCGTGAAAGCTGAGCGGGACGGAGGAAGCACTTAGCAAAGACGTAGGAGCCAACGGCTGCTTCCCACTAAGGACTTTGCGATAGGAATCTCACTCCACACTACTCAAGTCCTTGCGTAGAAGAAGGAGGGCTTCAATGCACGAGAAACGCAAGTCGTGTTGACGATGCAGCATCCCATGAACTAGACCTACTCGTGTTTCCTCTCCCTGACTCTGGCTGGTGTTGAGTTTATCTCAAGGAAACGCACTTGTTGGAAGAAATAAGCGTCGACACCGAGATTAGAGAATTATCTCTGCTGCACGTGTATTTTGAGCGAAGTAAGCCAATCGTCACGTTGCTAGTTATACTGGGTTACATCTGTGGAGTCATCCTGTCTTCTGTACACACATATGCTATTATGTCCGTGTCTGAGTGACTTATTTTGGCAGTCAGGATACTCTGGCTGGGACACAGCAAGTTTGTTTTCTTTTTTTTAATGCGTATGTAATTTTGAGCCAGAGAGGGAGGCAGAGAACTGCCAGGAGAGGGGCAGAGAGAGAAGGAGACACAGAATCCTAAGCAGACTCCAGGCTCTGAGCCGTCAGCACAGAGCCCGACGTGGGGCTTGAACACATTAACCATGAAATCATGACCTGAGCTGAAGTTGGACGCGTAACCAAGTGAGCCACCCAGGGTCCCCAGCAAGTTGGTATCTATCTACAGGTATGCGGTAGGCATTACGTCAGGGCGGGGAGGGGTGAGGGCGTAGGCAGCACTGACCTGGGCTACCGTCTGCCAGTGTGTGGCATCGTCTTCACTAGGATGGATTCCGTAATTCCATCTTCTTTGTACCACATAGATCACGGGCTCAATGGAAATATTGAATTTCGAGGACCACTTAATCTCCAGCTGTCCAGACTGCAGTTCTGTGAATCGTAACTCTTTTCTGGGCTTCAGGGGGACACCTGAAACATGACCATGGCAGTTAAAACAATCGGAGGTAAAGCTGAGGAAGAAAACCTTTAGAAAACACAAATCTCATGTAATGACAACTGACCCTCACTTCCTTCCGGAAAAGTGGCTTCTCCCTATCAGGGTTTTCACATTTGAGAGCTTCTCACACTGAGGTCAGCTGAACCGCATTTCAAGAATATTACCTCCTTTTCTTTTAGCTTTCCCATTTGTTTAAGAGGCTCTAAATTGGTTCCTGACTCTGAATAAGCATTTTTCACCCCAGTCATCTCAAGAACAATTTCCTTTACATGCATTATTCTGAATGAACCATGTTACCAGTGGCATCACATGAGGTTAACAAGGAATTCACACGAGGCCATGGTTGTGAAGAGTTTGAAGAGATTGTTCGCATTTAACATGCTCCGTTGCTACTGATATGGTCTAAGGTCATTATAATGTAGTTCCCCAGTCTACTTGCCTTTCCATCTCAGAAAGTTTGCCTTTTAAGGAAAAAATTATAAGGCTCAGTGCTCTCATGTGGTCAAACGTTACAAGAATGAGTTCCGAAGCATGGGTCCTTTGCATTCCCCAAGTGATTGCTGGGCTCCCTCCTATAGACTTATGACTTAAAATTGGAAAATGATGAATTTATAATGTTTGGTTTTGGCACGAGTGGCTGCCTTGCTTCAAAAGTCCCTCACAGGTGGCTCATTTTAAAGTAGTTCATCATTCCGATTTCTTCTTCCCCCCCCCATGGTGCATGCAAGTGGTCTGGCCACGGACAGATTTAAGAACCACAGTTCCAAATTGTAGCCATTCAGGAAAGGGGGGTTTAAAATAAAGTTATATACTCATAGGATGTGTAAAACTAACTGGATTAGGTACAGTCCATGGCACCACGATGTTCAACACCATGAGAATCTAGAACATCAGATGCCGTTAATATCATTTTGTCTTGAGAATAAGCATTTGCCTAACACACGGACAATTCGTTAGAAAGCGTTGTTTGGTAACACTCTTTCTCCACATCTTCATTTTAAACAGAGAGGAAACTGAAATGTGTGCAAATACAAAACATAGATCGTATCTTATGCCTGTTAGTGACGTTACTGAGTATCAACTCTGATTTCACATTGATCTTAATTCATGCTAAGTCTTGTCCGGGAACATTTTAAAGTCCTTAAACATTGAGGTGGGTGGAGTCGGATACTTTTTAAATAGCACCAAATGTACCTGGTCCAAGGTCAATGAGTTGCACAAAATACTTTCCAGAGAACATTCCCCACACGCGCTGGAGTCTCCGTTTTGATTTGCTGATGTGTTGTCTGTGTGCCTTGCCCTTTACTACAAGGCTGGTGTCTTGAGTGACACTCATTGGGGGTGAAGGGTTAATCATCTCCATTCTGAACATCAAGTAGTAGCGTCGAGGAAGATGAAGTTGCCTAGAGCAACGGCCTGATCTCAGGTTTCTCTCTGAGTTTTCTGCTTCTTTCCACATTTTGAATTCAGAAGAGCCACTTAAAAAGTAGAGAAAAGAGGCACTTTTCATAGCTCTGCGCATCCCTTAAAGGTGTTTTTTTTTTAATGTTTTATTTATTTCTGAGAGAGAGAGAGGTAGTGTGAGCAAGGGAGGGTCAGAGAGAGAGGGAATGGGAAATAGAATCAGAAGCAGGCTCCAGGCTCTGAGCTGGCTGTCAGCACAGAGCCCGACGTGGGGCTCGGACCCACGAACCGTGAGATCATGACCTGAGCTGAAGTCAGACACTTAGCCGACTGAGCCACCCTGGCGCCCCTAAAGATTCTGATTTGAATGCCCTTGATGTTGCTGGTTGGTGTGGAACTGGTCTCCTGTTCTGCATTGTGTGAGGGTTCATTCAGGTTCAGGTCATAAACTTTTGTTCTTACGTTGGGAAGCGCATTCACTTTCAGGCCTGGAGTATTTTTGCTAAGTAAGTGACTCTCAAATCTGTTCCCAGGTTTGGGGCTGTGGGCCTCAGCGTCCACCTGCCTGCCAGATGAATTTCTCTGCACAAGTCCCCACTGAGACGCCCCTCCTCACGATGTCCCCACTCCCCGTGGTATGTGTGTGGCAACTCGATGCTTTGGGACCACCAAGGGGCCTCTCGACTTGCCCTTGGTCCTACCAACACATCGTGGGTTGACTGCATAGCATAATTCCAAGAATTCCCAAATCATCCTGTCTCCATGGAGACCACACTTTGTAGGCCCTCCATCTCCTGTCTGGACCTTCCCAACAGCATCCTTTCCCATGTCCCACAAGTCCATCTTTCTAATTCCCTCCTCGCAGTATTCTGTGGCTATGGTTTTCCTAGAGTACAGGATAGACTGTCCCCTCCACCTTCTCAGACTATTCACTGGCATCCTGTTTTCTGTGGAACGAATGGAAACTTCTTGACATCACGTCACAGCATCCGTCTTTATCATCTCTCTGTTCGTCTCTTGATACATCTTACATATTGGTCACACAACCTGCTTTTACACCCAGCTTTTCTAGAAACACACTGCCAGGTACATCCTACTACCACAGCCCGTTTATACATATTTTTTGAGTCTGAAATGTCTTTCCTATGTTCTGACCATGGACACGTGAATACTCCCAGGCTCGGGGTGAAGGCCACTCCTCGGAGCTACCTACCCTAATCCTCCAGTTGAAAATAAAGGTCCCATTCTTCTGCTCTCTTCAAAGCTTAGCTTGTACCTGTCATCATGTGCATTTAACTGCCTCTTACTACAGAAGCTCATTTGACGATGTCCATTGTTTCCATTAAGCTACAACCCCCAGCCCCCTTCGTTCCCACAGCTCCTCATGGTTCAGGAGACCGCATTCTGCAACAGCACATGCTCAGTAAGCGTGCGCTGAAGGAACAGCCCAGCCCACTGTCTGCAGCCATAGGAGGGCACAGAAACACAATCTGGCCACCAGTGGGTAATCCCCTCGCTGCTGGAGGGCATTCACCTACCAGAAGGGAGAAAACGTAGACAGGTACTTGCCTATGCTTGTGTTTTTAAAGAGTAAATACTAAACAGTAACAAAACAAACTATATTAGAACATTTACAAGATGGAATTGCTTCATTCCACTGATATAACTTTCCCAGTTTTAAAAAAAACAATTCCTAATAATTCCTCATACGCTGGAAAATCTGAAAGCTAACTGCTGATGAGTTTGAATCCCAAAGTAGCTCTCTGAAGGTTTAGATTAAGAAAAAAGCCACCACAGTTTGCTCGGAGTGAGGAAAACCCGATCTCGACAAAATGATTGTATCACGGGATACCAGACACACTTTTTGCCGGGGGGCGTATGCAGATGTGCGAAGAGGGGTGGCCTCTGAGGACAGTTCAGGATTCACGTGGCTTCTTTGTGCTCAGTAAAGAGTTCTGGGGAGCTCTTTAAACTCAGAAAGCACACTCTCTGAGTCTCCCCCATGCAAGCTTCTCCTTGGCTCTCCTGTGTGCAATCCTTCAGCACAAATGCAGCTCTAGTAAATACTCCAGCCGCTGGAGTAACCTGAACTCATCAGGAGCAAACACAAGCATCAGAATCCCCTTGCAAGAAGGTTTTAATCTTAAATATCATTCAACAACCGAGAGCCTTAATCGAACATAATGAGCATCAGAGCGATGTCAGTTCGCATTTCTTCATTTAACCACCTCTTTAATTATTATGTACAACAATCTTGCAATTTGCATGTTGAGAAACGGCCCATCTGCTTTACATTAGGGTCAGCTGGCTCCCTTGATTGCAAGGAACTCCAGCACTTGGCCGTAATTGTGTGCAGATGGGGTTCAGCCCCTCAGCACCCCCTCAGCCCCTGAGATCCCCGGCCCTCACAGCCAGGCCTTCAGAAAGGTCCTAGGTAGCTCAGCCAGCATCCAGGCTGCATAACCAGATGCATAGAACGCATGTCTTCTCTGTGCATTCTTTATCATGTAAAGGGCTAGAATTTTTCTTCTTCAGTTTTGAACAACCTAGTCCTGGGAAATCTACACTATTCTGTCAAAAATGTTATCATAGGGGCGCCTGGGTGGCTTAGTCGGTTAAGCGTCCGACTTTCGCTTAGGTCATGATCTCGCAGTTCGTGGGTTCGAGCCCCGCGTCGGGCTCTGTGCTGACTGCCAGCTCAGAGCCTGGAGCCTGTTTCAGTCTGTGACTCCCTCTCTCTCTGACCCTCTCCTGCTCGTGCTGTCTTTCTCTCTCTCTCCTAGAAATAAATAAAAAACATTAAAAAAAAATGTTATCATAATAACATCCCACCATATGGGACATTACAGGTGCATTTTCTTTAAGGTGTGACAAGTATTTTGGTGAAATCCAATTGTGTAAAATCTTTGCAAATAGAGTGATAGGAAACTCAATGATCACAATCGGCAGTTGCAAATCATGAGATCCAATTACTCCTGTAAAGATATTTCTATCATGAGTCTAAATGTTATGAAACTGCAGCAAGACACAGTGTTCGAATGATTCAATAATTAACCGCTACTCATTATCGCTCCCAGAGCTAATCAGTATTCAGGGAATTTGTGTTCCTATCACATCAAGCGATCGGGTCACTGTATCCAAAATCCTAAAAAATGGATTTGTGACAAGTGATATGTACGAAGACATTCATGGAAATATTGTCAACACCATCATCAGATCCTTCTGGAAACAAAGCGATACATGATTAACGTTGGTCTGTGCATAGTGAAAGTAAAACAGAGATCACGTGGAGCCACAAATTGATCTCAGTCTTTACATATGGACAACAATTTGAGCTCCTCTCCTTCCCTACCCAAACCTAGTGCCAGAGCTGCAAGCCAGAGCACTAGTTTGGGCAGTAACGTAATAATTCCTACCACCTTCTGGAGGGAGGAGAGTGTAAGTCAGCTGTAGGTCAGACTTAAAACTGAGGCAAGGGGGAGAGTCCACAAGTGCCCTGATGTGCCAGTGTTGATGTCTTACCTGTGGAGAATCGGCCTTTTCCCCTTCCCGCGACCAGACTCTGGTTTGCACCACGGACACCGGCCACTCGGGTGGCATTTACCAGTGTTAACATTTGTAAGCATTCCGGGGTGTGGCTAACCATGTTATGTGAAGGTGTGAAGGGTGAAGGGAAAGCTCTGCGTTAAACTATAATGCCGGTCTATAAGGTCAACTTACGCAGAGGTATCAGCCTAGGATGGTTCTTACAGCATAAGCCAAATTAAATACTCAAATATAATGCATTTATACTTATATTCAACAAAGTTGAACATCTTTTCAAAACATGCATTGTTTTTTTTTTAATTCTTTAACGTTTATTGATATTTGAGAGACAGAGAGAGACAGAGTATGAGTGGGAGAGGGGCAGAGAGAGAGGGAGACACAGAATCCGAAGCAGGCTCCAGGCTCTGAGCTGTCAGCACAGCGCCCGATGCGGGGCTGGAACCCACAAACCACGAGATCATGACCTGAGCCGAAGTTGGACACTTAACCAACTGAGCCCCCCAAGGCACCACTACATCTGTCCAATTAGAGAAGTCTGTCCACAAGTGAGCTTTCTGTGCATGACCACTCTGATGAGGACCTTCTCGCCCAGTGACGGGGCACCCTCTTCCTCAGCAAAGAGTTGGCACACACCTAGCTGAGCAGACAGCCGAGGTCAGGCTTCCCACCCGCAGCAGGTCCGGGGCAGTACGAAGGAAGAGTGCAGGCGAGGAGGGCGGTGGGGGCTGCCCCTCCACAGATGAGCCGAGGGGGATTTGGGTGCAGGATGTCTGGCTAGGAAATGGGTCTTTCTCTCCTTGCACAGCCAGGCGCTGGGTCCAACAGTACCCCTACCTGGGAGACAGGGGGCGGTCAGCAACACCACGCCCTTCGCTGTGACTCTGGGCCAGGAACGCAGTGAGACACCTCGGGTGGCCAATCAGCAAAGACTGTGGTGGGAAGCATTCTGGCTGGCTCTGTGGGGGCCCTCCTGCTCACACCTGCTCGCTCGCTGGCACGGCCAGAGCCCCCGCCGTGGAAACCAGCCCGCCTTCAGGGACTGCCCAGCAGAGCGAGGGGAAATAGCTACCTGCAGCTGTATGTCTGTCCAAAATAACAGTAATACGATCCTAGGCTCGTTAGGCAAAAGTCATCATCAGGTCAAGAGTCTGTTCATTCTATTTCTAATTAGTTCTCCATGAACTGCCTGTCTCCGTAAAAAGCCAAGTTAAGAGCTACTTATAGTAGAAGAGAGATTTCAACACTTTTTTTTAAAAGTACATCATATTTAGTTAAGCATAGGTTTCAATTTTTTTTTTAAATTTTCAATGTATATTTATTTTTGAAAGAGAGAGAGGGAGAGACAGAATCCGTAGCAGGCTCCAGGCTCTGAGCTGTCAGCACAGAGTCTGACATGGGGCTCGAACTCATGAACTATGAGATCACAGCCTGAGCTGAAGTCAGACACTTAACCGACTGAGCCACCCAGGCGCCCCTTTAAAAATTATTTTTTAATGTTTATCATTCTTTGAAAGAGGGAAAGAGAGGGACAGAGTTAATCATAGGTTTAAATTGCAAGTCTCTTTTAATAATTAATCATTTGTTCTGGCCCTTAGCAGAGTATTTCCCTTATTCTTGGTGAATTAGGAATTTCTGAAATTCATACGGACTCTTCAATGCTTTTAAAATAAAAAGCATACTTTAATGTATAATGCCTCTTTAAAGCACTCTACTAAACACTAAGGGTTTTTACAAATGGGTTTTCAACAATCATAAAAGCATCCTATTTTCGCGGCAAATGCTAATACTTAAGTAATAAATGATCTATAATGACAGAGAAGTTACATAATAACAGACTTTAGAAAAATTAAATGGTGTTTGGTTTTTGCAAAAGTGATTTTATGTAGTTTATAATGAGAGGCATGAAAACAATAAAACTTTAAATCTATTAAAGAAACATCACCCAGTAAGGAGGGAAAGCAGCAATTATTTTGAGTTTGAGACAGAGTATTTATGCCAGGTTTGCAAAGATCCTATCCAAAAAGAAAAAAAAAAAAAAAAAAGAGGTGGGGGGGTGGGTGTCAGTAACGAAAGGAAAAGCGGAGGGATTACAGGGGTTTGAGACAAGAGTAATTGCAAGTGAGGCCAGAGGAGACTGGGGCAGTGACATATGTCCTGGGAGAGGACAGGGAGGGAAGAGCAGTCGGCTGGAAACAGCCAGCCAGCACATAACTCCATGTAGGCTATACGGTTTCACGCCTATATGGAATTTAAAAATAAGTGACCTATATTTGGAAATAATATACATTTGATACGAAAGAGCAGAGAACCACAGATAACTCTCTCTGCTTATAATGAATAATGCCTAGTGATTAACTCTCTTTTACTCTTCACGGGAGACCCAAAAAAGCAGAATTTTGACTCCTAGGATACTCTGACGGTATCCAAAATGGCACATAATACAACAGAATCGGTTTGGCATAAAAGAACTCATCACAGTTACCAGAAGAGAGAAGTGACACTTGGCATCCAGGAGTTAAGGGCTCTAGAAACCGCCTCCAAATGTAAACTGTCACATCTGCGAAGTTGTTTGATAAATGGACTCCGCTTCTCTGGAAGAGAGCTCCCCTCTAGCGGCTTCTCAAGACGTGAAGCAAAATATTGAAAGTCCACACAGTGACACTTGTGTTCTTGGATGATGTCAATGGGAAATCCACAGTACCGGTGCATTTCTTATGTGTTTTTTAAGGGTGCCCCACCCCTCGTCTATTTTCCAAGGATTTAAATCTACTCGCTCCAGTGTACCCAGGGCAGCTGAATTGATTTATTCTTACTGGAGATAAGTACAACAAAGTTCTGAAGTGATGCTGTCCTCCCGAAATGTTACATTTAGTAAGAATGATTTGCTTGGCCCCAAATGTTTACCGGGGCTGGTCTATATGATCCAGTAATATTTTCAGATGTTTAGATATGGCACAAAATGCAGTTTCTTTCCATGTCTCTTCTCTTACAACAGAGCCACCTTTGCTTTGGGTTTTGGTGTTTTTGAGAGAGAGAGAGAGAGAGAGAGAGAGACAGTAAGCGAGTGGGGGAGGAAAGAGAGAGGGAGAGAGAATCGCAAGCAGGCTGTGAGCTGTCCGTGCAGAGAGGGACACGGGGCTCGAATTCACCAACGGTGAGATCATGGCCAGAGCAGAAGTCAGGAGTCAGATGCTCAACCGCCCGAGCCACCCAGGCGCCCCTGAGTGGGCCACCTTTGAGTGACACCCTTGCCCACGCAGACACCACCCCCTGAGGGTTTGGAGGCCCCTTACAGCCGGCTCTGCTCATTACCTTTGTACAGCGTCTTGGGCACTTGGCAGGTGTGTCCGCATCCGTTGGAACAGCATTTCTTAACCCCGGAGCACTCGTTGTCGGCCTCACAACTTTCCACACAGGCGGCGGCAAATCCGCTTGCCTTCTCGGGGGCCGGGCAGTCGCCCTGCTTCACCGCCAGGATGTATTTGAGGAACTCACAGCTCATCAGGCATTCATAGTTCTTCTTGGGGAACAGAGGCTCAAGAGAGAAGAGGAAACATTCTCTTATTTTTCTTTTTAAAGATTTTAAACTTTAATCTCTGCTCTCAACATGGGGCTCAAACTTACAACCCCAAGGTCAAGAGTCGCACGCTCTACTGATGGAGCCAGCTGGGCGCCCCTAAAAGAGAACCTCTCTTATGAAAGACCCAGGACGCTTGATGCCCAAGGCATCAGAAAGGAAGGTAAAAATGTTTGTTTACTTGGCCAAAATTTCCCGAGAACATTTTACAAAATAAATGTATTTTCTTTCCTCTCTAAAGACATATTATTGTACATTCATTCCTAAAAGGAATCTGACCCTTGAAATGTTCCTTTACAGACAAACGTGAATTATGCAGACACACGTTCACAAAGTATTATATTGTGAGTTAAATGCGGTTGTCAAATTTGATTTCAAATATTCATAAAGGATGTTAGTACCATTCGAGGGGCCCTTTTGGACCACTGTACATATATACAGATTTTCATTCTCTAATGAGTCATTTGCTTTTTACGTGGTCAATACTAATCAAAACTTGTTAGCTGTAAGCCCTATGGAATCTTAACAATTCTCACATCAGTTAACATATTTAGTGATATCAAACAGTCCTCTAAGCCTCAGTTAATTGAACATATTTTAATAATATCTAGCTTCTAGAGTTAATGTGCACACGGGTCCTGTTATCAATATGGAATTGTCAGTAAATTCTGCAGGAAAAGAATGTGAGTCATTGTTACCCGTGACACAGTCAGGATCTGGAGAGCATTTAGCTGAGGACATTTCAGTTAAGCCCACAGTCCATGAAACATTAGAGAGAATAGGTATTCCTTGATTTATCTGGAGAGTCGCATTATGGAAACAGTGTGAGTAATGGGAAGGGTCACTTATCCAATGCATCTTTTTCCGTAGGAAAAATGCTGCAGGACAGCATTTGGTGATCGCTAGAACATGAGCTGTAATCAGAGGAAAAGGGCTTCTTTCTGCTGCTCAAGTGGCTGCTGAGGGTCCTAAGAGCAGTCTCTCCCCAGGGACATAAAGGGGACCTCATGCTTTGCCCCCCTCCTTTGGCCTGATGGAAGATGGTGACCCTAACTTTTGGCATACCCCCCTTTTCTTTGATAGCTCATTGCCGAGATAGCCACCCAAATCCTAACCAGTCCTGTAAACCCATTTTCCCCTGCAGTGCACCCGTCCAGCCAGGTAAGATCCCAGCCCTCCAGCCATCCCCTTTGTAAGGGCGCCATGTTGTTGCTAAAGAAGGTTTGGTGAGCCAGGCTCCCAGGCCGTGGGGATGGCGCTCCCACACCCACCTTCTCCTTGCCTGCTGGATATGGGCAGTGCCCTACGTGATGGCACAGCCCCAAGAACCAGGGTGCTGAGTGACAGGTGGGGAACCGTGTCACACGGCCAGGAGGCCCGCCTGGAAGTGCCCCTCCGTGCACACAAAGCGCTCACCCGCATGGGTGTGAACTCTGGTGAGGTTGTGCTAGGTCTGCCCTAAGCAATGCCCACCCTGGTGCCAAGGGTGGCTCGGCTCAGGGCCTTCCTACTCAAGTAGGAGACTGAGGAAGGCTCTATGTCTACTGTTTGATGTCCAGTTGGAGTCGGGGACACAAGAAATGCATGTGGTAGCTCCAGTAAGCACGAACTGGGGTGCTAGCGACACCCAGGGAAACTGGGAGGGCGGTGTCCGGGAACGGTGAGGACCACTCGGCAGAGAGCGTCTCACACAGGGGTGCGGGCATGTTAATGGAGGGGAAGGATAAGAAACCACGTCACCATCATCAACGTCCCTGGTTTGAGGAGTTCCGAGGGGAAAGATGCCTCTACCTGGTTTCCAAAGAGAGGGTTAATTATAGCAGGTTTATTTCTCATGTTGGTGGTGACTGGAAATGTCACTGAAAACCCCAAACATGGTAACTCTAGCACCAGGGCCCATCCCAGGAACCCGGGCAAAGTCAAACACCAGGGCAATCTTCCATCCTGCTTCTCTCCTGTCCGCGATGCTACGTCAACAAGCTGCATATGGGGCACCTGGGTGGCTCTGTCAGCTAAGCATCTGGCTCTTGATTTTTAAAGGCTCAGGTCACAATCTCACAGTTCATGGGACTGAGCCCTGCATTGGGCTCCGCACTTGGCATGGGGCCTGCTTGGGATTTTTCCTTTCCCTCTCCCTCGGCCCCTCCCCTGCTCCTTCTCTCTCTCTCTCCCTGTTCCTCTGTCTCAAATTTTTTTTAAAAAATCTGCATACGAGTTATGATGGTAAGTGCTACACTGTGTGTATTTTACCACAATTAAATAAAAACCTACCTAAGGGCAAGAAATGTGTGCTTTCAGACACCCGTGCTCTCTCATAGACACGTGGTCTTTCTGATAGTGTAAATTTAACGTACTCTGAGGCATCAATGCCGTATGACCATTAAATACGACACAAGAGTTCGGACTCTGACAAAGGTTGGAAAACTAGAAACACTATCTAGAAAAAGTATAATCCCAAAGTTTAAGTTACAATCATTGATGTCAGATAAATTATCAACTGTTAGTCAAAACAGGGTCTCAATTGAAGAACTTTCTAGATAAAACTTAGAGGAGAGGCCATGGCTTCAATACAGAAGGACATAAATTTGTAGCTAGTTAATTTTTTTGTTAACTGTGCAACACTGAAAGCCTCATCAGTTCTTAAGGCTTTTCTCTCTGATTCAATTTCACAGTTCATTTTTCTGTTAGCTGCTAGATGTGTTTGATTTCATTGGCTTTTGAATTTCTAAATTTAAGTCCAACCCTAAGTTTGGAATCAAGGAAGGATGTAAAGGGATCCATAACAATGATGGAGTGCTGGCCAGTTTCTCTTTCCACAAAATGTATACACTATGTGCACTGAAAGAAAATACTTAAGTTACCAAAATAAATTGCCCGCATGGGCTGAAGTTGCCAAGTAGAAATAATTTTATTAGATCCAGCAAGTGTGTACTGCTTGCTAACTGGGAAATCACCATGACTCAATTCGCGGCCCGATCACATCGGCCCCCTTCATCTTCACATATGGAAACAGGGTATGACTTGAGGTTCAGATAACAAAGTCTGGGCTCTCTGCTCACGTGACTCTCATTACCACCGTGCCAACGCCACACCCCTGAACCGTGAGGGACTTTCTCATCAGAGGCAGTATCCCCTCATCTTAAATAATTTACTGACGGAGCAAATGGGGCAGATTTAAAAACAAACAAACACAGTGGCCTTCCCAGGTCTGAAATATTTGCTCCCAATGAATGTACTGTAATAAGAAGGATAATTAGCAGACTCGCCCCCGGTTGACGTGAGAGAGGTTCTGTACATTTATGCAATATTTCTCCTTCTTGGTATGGATTCGAAACTGTGACTTTTTTGTGTGCGTGTGAGTGTTTTGAGAACCGTGGAAACAAATGTGGGAACTAAAAAAGTTCATCTCTGCACTGGAGCTTTCTCGACAGGGACGTGAGCCTGAAATAATACAAATAACGTTATGAATATTACATGAGAAGGTGCATACAAAGGACGAAGCCCTATTATGCACCCCAACGGGTACTCAATAGCAGTGGAGTAATTGGTATTTCTTTTCTTTTCACATGCTACAAGTTTACTGTTTAACATTTCCAAATTCTTCTGTTATTCCGACAAAAATGTTTTAAGATTCACAGACAGAAAGTTGGCTCTGCCTACTCTGCGGTGTGACCATCCACAAGTTTCCAACAAGCTACTGCCAAATTCATCACTGAAATCTGCATGGGGGGGACAGTGCCCTGCTGGCACTTCTGAGTTCTATCTTATAAGATAGAAAAAAAGTTGTGAGGATCATCTTACAAATACGTGAATTTGGTCCAACGATCTTACAGAAGACTTCGACTTAATGGTTCCATTGTTTATTAAAGGCAGATTTTAGTATTCTCTCTCACGTATCTTGGATAATTATCTTGGATTATGTTGATAAACTATTAACGGTCTGAATGTAAAGTGGAGAACATATAATCTCTGTATGTAGGTCTATCACTATGCCTTTAAACATAGCTCGTTGAGAATGTACGAGTCAAATGGAATAAGGACAGAAATGAGTGCAAGTCAGTGAAACTGATGTGTGAATATTAATACTCTAGATACAAAGAAAGGGTGTAAATTGGGCCACTAATGGCCAATTGTAAATCCTGTGAACAGAGGCCATTCACTGTCAGTAAAGACACTCCTGACCAATAAGCACCTATTATTTCTTGTGATATTACAAGTTCATTACTGGGAGACTTGTCAAGAGGGATGTGAAAATTTTAGGAAAGGTGCAAGTTACCCTCATCATGATGAGTATAATGGCTGTCAGCATCATGGTAAACAAAAACGTGTGGAAATGCAGATGGATGTGTTAATGTTATATTTCTAGTTTATAAAGTTCTATCAGCTATTAAGGCAAACTGTTCTTTGTAAAATTAATGTAACTACAACTCCTTTATAAAACTATTTATATGAGGGGCACCTGGGTGGCACAGTTAGTTAAGCATCCACCTCTTGATCTCGGCTCAGGTCATGATCTCGCAATTTGTGAGTTTGAGCCCCACATTGGGCTGTGTGCTGATGGCCTCAAGCCTGCTTGAGATGCTGTCTCCCCATCTCTCTGCCCCTCCCCTGCTTGTGCACTCGCTCACTCCCTTTCTCTCAAAATAAATAAATAAACTAAAAAAATTAAAACAACTATTAATATGAATAATTTCACAAATCACACAAATGACCATCGTTCGCCAAGTCATTGGTTCCGATATAAAACTGGGAAAAATCATGGTTACTATGCTCATTAATTTTTGTTCATTGTTTTCTTCTGCCCTTACCCTACACAAAACTAAGAACAGAATACTCTTCAAAGATCATGTATTTTTCTAGAGCAGTTAGTATCTAATGGTGCCATCATGCACTCAAAGACAGGCTAGATACATCAAAGTACTACAGTCAAAGAAAATACCCTTGGTGCACTGGATTAA